AAAAAAAAAAAAAAGAAAAAAAAAATGGATATGAATAAAAATAATGAAACTAAAGAAGTTTCAACAGAAACTGAATTTAATAAATTAAATATTGACAATATCGACAATATCGACAAAAAAAATTGTTCTTATTGTGATAAACCATTTAACGAAAAATTATGGTGTAAAGAATGTGATCCTCGTCATAAAATAGAAGGTTGGACTAGTGGAAATAATGATATTGATAAATTTATTAAGGATACAATTTATGACGCAAGAAAATTTAATTTTAATAGTTTTGTTGAATGGATACCTTTTGATAGATTTGAAAATGTAGAACAAATTGGTGATGAATATTCCAAAATATATTCTGCGACATGGAATGATGGTCAAGCAATTTATACTATACAAGATGATGGAAGTTGGAGAAAATTGGATCCTAAACCCATGAAAGTTGCTTTAAAAAGGTTAAACGGATCGGAAACTATTACAGATGAAAATTTAAATGAGGTAATATAATAATTTATATAAAATTTTTTATTATACGACAGAAAAAAAAAAAATATTTAATATATTACTTTATTTTATAATAGATTAAAATGCATTGGGAACTTTATTCAAGGAATAATTCATTCTTAGAATTTTATGGAATATCAAAGGATCCAGAAACTAAAGAATTTTTTGTGGTTATACAATTTGCAAATCAAAGAAATTTGAGATATGTTCTTTCAAATCATTTTAGCACAATTTCATGGAAAGAAAAGATTAATTATTTATATGGATTAGCAATTGATCTTAAAAATTTACATGAATTTGGTTATTATCATAAAAATGTTCATAGCGGAAATATATTACAAGATGATGGTGATTCTTATTTATCAAATTTTGAATATTCTGAACCATCAAATAAGCAAGAATCAGATAATAAAATTTGTGGTGTATTATCTTATATTGCTCCAGAAGTTTTAATTGGTGAATCTTATACATTATCTTCAGATATTTATAGTTTTGGCGTAATTATGGCAGAAATATCATCTGGTAAACCACCTTTTTATAAAAGAAGACATGATGCTAACTTAGCATCAGAAATATGTAATGGAATCAGACCAGAATTTGGAAGAGGAACTCCTGAAGTTTATAAAAAATTAGCTTATAAATGTATGAATGCAAATTCAAATCAAAGACCAACAGCTAATGAATTACATGAATTATTATATTTTTGGAGGGATTCTATTAATTTTTATGATAAAAAATATCCAGTAGTAGAAAAATTCGGTTATAAAGAAAAAGAAATTAATTCCATATTTAAACAAGCTAATAGTGTAAAATTAACTAACACAAATGCATATGAGAAAGTTCCTGATGTTTTATATAATAGTAGAGTTTTTACGTTTAATAATTTACCAAAACCTATTAATTCATCTATTATTATTACATATTTAAATGATGATGAAAATAAAGGTATTTTATATATTTTAAGTTTATTAATTAAAATTATTAATATTAATTTTATTTATTTTTTTATTTATTTATAGATTAAGATCCTCTGGAGGTTCTACACGTCACCGCTAATACATTTAGACATAATTTACTTAAAGTTATAAGCTTTCATCGCAATATATTTAATAAATTTTATATAAATTTCATAATTAAATTTTACTTGATAAAAAATATTTGCAATATGTTAATTCTTGAAAACTTTACACATGTCAAATCAATAATATTTAATAAAAGGACCTCGTAAATACGTAAGACTATTGGAGGTCTGAAGCGTGCAAATTTAACAATAGTAATTAAATGATGGCGTCATAAAATATCACTAGTACAATAACGTTATAGATAATTTCGTAAAAAATATGCAAGATATCACTATTTGTATATACCAACACGTGACGCAAAAAGATTTAAAATAATCAAAATTTACCAAACTGTAACAATCTAACAATCGTCCTTCCTCAGATAAAAATATATTTTAACATATTCGTTCTTTCTTCAATTGTTGATTATGCAATCAAAGATATATTTACATTACGAAAGGAAATCTATATCAAATTGCCAATGAATTTTTATAGAAATAAAAGCCACGTCGTAGAACTTCCCATCATAAATTACCATTTACAACTTGATTTTTATAATAAGATATTTTTTAACATTAAAAGTTATCTATTATTTTTAAACTATTCTTTCTTAAATCATTTGATAATCAAACATCAACTTTCTCGATTTTTTAATGAAACCAATAGTGGATCATCCTTCGGAGGTATTTATGTAATGATTTAGGGTACAATTAAATTAATATATTTCAAGAGCTCGTATTAAAAAAAAGATATAGGAGACAAAAATAAAGATTAACATAAATTTTACTAATGAAGTACGACAATTAATTGTCAATTTTTTCAAAAAACATTATTCGATTATCGCCGTTTTCAATTTGGTTGAAACTGCGGCTTGTCGATCAATTATAATAAAAAGACCGAAAACTCGTAATTTTGTGAAACTGTACTAATGAAGCATCACGTTTCACATATGAACATATAAAATATTTTGATTGATGCATTATGCTAAGCCACTCCTATATTACTTTTATAATTTTTTTTTTATTTTCGTAATGTTTCAATGGGAGATTACTAGCGATTCAACTCTAAGTATAATGGAAGTATAACAGCAGTCCCTTACCGAAAACTGCAACTTCATACTAAGTATTATATTATTATTTTTTATTTAACTGAAGTATTTAACTGAAAATACTTATAAACATTTAAAAATACATGGTCTCTGGCTGTATATAAAAAAAGTTTTGTTATTATTAATAACTATAGATAAATGCGTTGGTATTTGTGTTTGAGCAATTTTTGGATTATAATTAGAAAAAGATTTATTTCTTCTTTCAAAATTAAAGAATCATTTGAATTACAGAACACTAAGATTTTGACTTTTTTTTTTAAAAAAAATCGCCATAATTACAGTACTATATAAACTTTGTAACATTTCAATTATCTGTGAATAATTTTTTATTTAAAATAGTAATTATTATTTTTAAATGGTTGGTGAAATTTTTTAATTATTGTAAAGTTGTAAAAGGCATAATAATAAAATTTTCTTTTGAACTTTTGAAAGTTTGAAGTTTGAACGCGAAAAATAATTATTTTACTTAGTAAATTATTATGTGTTTAAATTTCATTGGCTGATCATTGTTGATCAACATGTGATTAAGTGTTTTCGTATTTTATTATTTTTATTTATAATTTGATCAGTTTCAACTAAATCGAAAACAGTGATAAATCTATTTTTGATAAAAATAGATGTCAAAAGTTACAATAAATGAATCCTAAATTTAGATTTGCCCATGTGCTATTACGTAATTCTAATTTTTGTATAATGATTAAAATTGAAAAAAAAATTCAAAAAATTCTAATGGCAAATAATGTTTTATTATCCATTACGTAAACCACCATAGTGCAGATCAATGAAATATAGCCCGAAAAATAAAAATCAACGAAAATTTTTAATTTTAGTTAAAACATGGAGAAAAACGGCGATAAAAATTCGCCATAACAAATACTGTAAATGTATGAAATGTGATTTATTTTGAACTTGTTCATTTCTAATAAAATCATGACATTCGAATTATAATAAATATTTTTTAACCATATTGAGCCAACAAGCAGTAAATTCCAAATTGTGGGTAAGAGGAGTTATTGAAAAGGTTGTTGAACCCGTATTATTAGGATGAATAAGCGCATATCCTCCGTCCATCGTTGCAACCGTCTCAAGCGGGTGGCCTGTAAGATATATGTTTACAGTTTCTACAATCTGTTGTATTACTCCATTTTCATCGCTTAAAAAAGGAAATATTTGAATGTTAAAATTAATTTTTATCTTAGTTTCTATAATTAAAATTTAGAAATTTATTAGGATAAATTACATTTTAAATTTCTGTAAGGAATAACCAGTAGTATTTGTTATAGGAGCAATTTAGATAAATCCCGATAAACATTTAGCGTGATGGAATCTTGACCTGGTCTTCCATTCTTTAGAAGCGATATTAACATACGATGATCCCAGCTTAATTTTACTATAAAGGAATTAAGTAAGTATTATTGTTTTATATATATTTAAAGGAAATTTATTTATTACCTGTGGATTACTCCATCTAAGTCGATAACCATTCTCCAATCATTATAAGTAAGAGGATTGTTTATATTATCAGCTTCCACGTAAGTTACTAACAAAAAAATTTTTTTTTACGGAATAAAATCTGAGAGGATTTGTTTTTATATATTTTGGAAGAATACAAAAATTAAAAGATTGTATATTTAATGTATCTGAAGGAAGATCAAATCCTTTAACAGTTCCATCGGGATAAATTGTACGAATAGATAAATATTCCTCAAATCACCGTAATTTGGAGGGATCTTTACGAACTATTCGACCGACAATAATGTTATTATTATAACAATCTAAACTGAACATTCTGGATATTTGTGCGGTTAAAGGTTGGTTTTCTTCAAAAATGATTGATGATTTTACTCAATAAAATTATCGATAGAGATATAAAAAGTGATATATGATTTAATTTCATTTTGAATTTTTTTTTAGAGTTGTAATAAATTGGGCATGAAATAATTAAACTTTTTTTTTTTTAAAAAAAAAAAGTAAAAAGAAATTTGTTTTTTAAGGTATCTTATGATTTTTTTTAAAAAAACTTTAATGAAATTATTATTCTCATTTGTTATAATTTTTTTAAATTAAAAATAATATGAACGTTGCTATTAAGCAGTAATAATAATGGTTACATTTTATTATGCATAGGACTTACTTTTTTTATACAATCAAAAACTTCAGATAATCTTTGAAGTTTCCAGTTACGTCACGACAATTTTGGAATCTTTGAATGAGTGAATTATTAAATTCTTTGACGATCAAGTTTGACTTTTTCGGAATCTTTGAATAAACTTCCTATTGCGTGTTCCAAATATTTCTATAAAGGGTAAAATTAAAACAAACGTATGAATAAAGGTTTTTTATAATATTAATTGGAGTTTTTATAATCCGTACTCCGACTATCTTTGAAATTTTTCATGAAAACAAATTTAGTAAATTCAATTAAATTTACTTAATTTACATAAAACAAAAAGATTTTATATTTGTTTACATGTTCTTATGATAAAATATTTTATTTGTTTCAAAGAAATTTTTTTTAGTTATTAATGTAATTTTTTGTAATGTAATTTTTTTTTCATTAAAAAAAAATATTTATACGAACTCTTCTCTCTTTATGATATAATGAATCAAATAATTTATCCGAAATTATTGACAATAAATATCCTTGCCGCAGTTACTGTATATTAAGGTTATTGCTTGTTTTTAACTGTAATATTTTATTTATTACTATAAATAAATAAATATATATAGATACGACCGATACATGTAAGTTTTATGTTACACAGCTTACGTTATATTTGTTTCACTATTACAGTTTTTAACTCTGATAATCTTGGAATAATTGATACGGGAAGAAGCCATAAAAAAAGTATTAACCAATTTATCAAACCAACAATTAGAAGTTACAAAAAAAAAAATTCTTTACATGTTTATTCATTAATCATTTCCCTGAATATTTTCTAAAGACTTCACCCATATCATCCATCTGAACATTTATTCATTACTCTTTTAAAAAAAATTAATGCACTTAAAACATTCCGAGCTTATAAATTTCCTTACAGAGAAAAGTATACATTCTTTAGCCTTGTTACATTTTTTTTTGTTTTTTTGTTTTTTTGTTTTTTTTTGGCTTTTGATGATAATAGTCCCGTACTCCAATTTTCTCTAACCTTATTTGAATTATTTATTATTTTTTCTTTCAATGATGTGTCTGCTACACAATGTATCACAGTATGTCGATCGTAGTTACATTATCATCTTGTGCAACATTGAATCTAACCACTTTTGAATTTTTAAACGATGTTGTGTCTACACAATGCATGTTGATCGTATCATCTTGTATCTAACCACTTGTATATCGCAGTAGTAAGTACAATTTACTGCATCAAATGATTGCTTTTCCGCTTGCATATCTATCTATGTAAAAGTAAAATCGTTTTTTTTTTAAATATTATTGGTTTTTCATTATTTGTTAACTATTTATGGAATTTTTCAATGAAATTCTTTTTATTGTTCGTTAGACTTAATTATTTAGTTATGGAATTTTTCAATGAAATTCTTTTATTGTTGTAATTATTTTAATCTAAATGAATACAATTATGTTAATATACAATAATATGATAAAAAAAAAAAACTTGTATCAAAAACAAATAATTGGTAAATTTTAAATGAAGTGATGAATTGGGATAGGGACGTAGGATCTAATATACATTTTTTTTTTTTGGTATTCCGATTTGATGGAAAAAAACTAGATTATTTTTCATTGTTAAATAAAGCATATTTTGTACAGTACGCGCGTGTCTACCTTTAATCAAAGAAAAATCGAATGTGCGTGCGGCGTGCCGTCATAAAAATACGATGATTAATAATTATTTTTAATTTCTTTTAAATCTCTTTTAAATCATTTATTACTAAAAATATGACGAATGATGCGATTATAAAATCGACCTTAAAGTCTACTGTAAATACTTGGCCGAATTTATCATAGTGCGGGCTGAATTTAATAATCAAATCACGTGATATCAGATATAGCTTAAAAGTACTTTTAAGTTTTTTTTCAAATCGTATGAAGAATTATTTTCTTTGTGAAATAACAATAACAATTTGCATGAAGAATAAAGTAAATAATTTAATAAATACAGTTTTTATGCAAGAAATGTTATTTTTTATATATATTTATTAGTAGTTATTCAAATAATAATTAATTGATCGAGTAAAAAAATTTAATCAAAATATAAAAGACAATACATAAGAGACTTAGATCAAGTTTAAACACCAACTTATTCTTTTACATAAATTTGGTTTTTTGCTAGGTTTGTATTTCATGTTGTGCCCGGTGTTGTCAGTGTTGTCACTTCATATATCTAATTCCACTGGACCGTTTGTTCCACTTTAAGTCCAGTTATCAAAATTAATTAACTAGCCCATCCAGTCAAAGAAAGGTACTAAAATCTCATTTTCCAGTAAAACTTGATTTAGCTGAAAAATAAAAATAAAATTAAATAATAGGAAATTAAAGATCGAGATAACTTTTTTTTTTGTATAAAGTACCAAATGTTCTAAAGTTTTGGAGTCACGTTATTTTCTATTTCGCCAATAATTAATTAAATCATGCCAATCCATCAAATTTCCGCACAATTATTGTACGAATTTGATATTTAAAAATCTTAGTCAAAGAATATTAAAATAATATGTATAGACAACTAAAAAGGTTTAGAGAATAAAATAGTATACGACATGATGATGTATTTATTTTATAGTTCAAATTTTATTTTTCTTTGATCAAATAAAGTCACGTCACTACATTTAATATATAGTAATAAAAATAAAAAAATTATAAAGAAATTTACTGAAATAATATAATAAAATACTGAAATCAAAAGAATTTGTATAAGAAAATGGAATAATATATAATTAAAAAGAAATATTAAAATATACTAATTTTAAAATTGAAATAATTTATTCATCACGTGTGCGATATCATCGCTACCTTTTGTCACCCTCTCTATTTTGGCTGGCATTACATAATTTTTCCCAGAGGCGATGCGATAAATAAATTTACTCCTTAAAATTTATTCATCATCGTCTTGGTTGAGATCTATTTTAAAAAAAAATGATAATAATAATTAAATTAAATTAATAATTTCATATATTTAAAACCAGATTGCTTACCTAATTCATTTGATTCACAACCCAAACATTCAGAAACTATTAATAAAATGAAAATAAAATTATTATAATAATCACAATAAATCTTTAACAATGCAAATATATACTTACTCGGATTTGCTGATGACGATGAAATAGTTTCTATTAAAAAAAATAAAAAAAATCAATAAATTATATTTTCATATTAATTTTTTAAACGTATAAATACCGGTTGAATTAACTGGTTCTGGAAGATTTTCAAAATTTAAAAGTCTGCTAGTATAAATTGCTTGTGGATGTGTTTGAAGATTTTTAGATTTATTTTCATTTGTTCTGTTTTTTGATTTACTCTCTTTAATTTTTTCACGTTCTTTTATTTGATACCTAATTTCACTATTTTCATCATCCATTCCTGCTCCATATTTAAGAATTGTTTGGCGTAATTCTTTAGCAGTTGGCCTATTTTCTGCTTTAGCATCCCAACATTTAATAATCAAATCTACAATTAATTTTGGTATATCTTCAGAAATTTTTGGTCTAAATCCTTTACATATTTTAACAACCAAAAAATGATCATGAGGAATATCATTATAAGGAATTTCTTCTGACATAATTTCATTCATTATTATTCCAAAGGAGTAAATATCTGCTGCTTTTGTATATTGATATCCACGTAAAACTTCGGGTGCTATATAAGGTATTACTCCATAAATTCCTTTTCGTTCATTATCATTTACTGGTTGACACATTCCCAAATCACTAATTGATAGTATATCATTATCATTATCATGTAATATATTGCCCGGATGAAAATCTTTATGAATATATCCAGCATCATGAATACCTAAAAGCCCATCTATAATATAAAATAAATATGCTATTTTAATTACAAGTTTTGAACCTTCCACTAAAGCATTTTTCAAATGTCCTCCCTCAAAATATTGTAAAACCATCATATAATCCTTAGTATTTGGGTCTTGAGTTATTCCATAACACTTAACAGTATTAGTAGCATGAAAATGACCTGAAATATAATATTTAATCTAAAATCACAAATTTTGTTAATAAATTATGTATTAAAATACAAATAATAATATAAAGCAAGATTTATTTTAATTACCTCATTTAAAAAATCATTACTTATATTATTAGATGAATTATTTAAACTTTTCAATGCAACTTTTCTTGAACTTCGGAACCATTCTTGTCTTTCAATACCCCAACATACAATATTTCCTTCGGGCCAGTAAGCCGAATAAATTTTACTAAATCCACTTCTATTAAGATAGGTAACATTTTCAAATTTTTCAAAAGGTATCCATTCAAGAAATTTTGAGAAATGAAAAGCATTAAGTTGTGATTGTTGTATTAATTCATCAATATTTTTATTTCCACTAGTCCAATTTTTAAAATTTTCCTTAAATCTTTTAGCATTACAAGGTTGACACCAACGCCATCCTGTACCTGGTTCATTACATTCTCCACATACTCCGTATGCTTTTTTTCTTTTTTCTAAATCCATAATATTTAATTTTACTCTTTTACGAATGGAAGTAGTTTCATCTGATTCAGTAGTTGAATCAGTTGAAAAAATTGTAGCGTGGAACTATCAAAATAAATGGTTAAAAATTTTAATAAATATTTATATTGTTTATTATATTATAATATTTTTACCTGATATTCATTATCATCATCTTTCCATAAATTTTCAGAATCAGTTTTAGAATTATTTCTTATTGTAATCTCAGTTGTATTTAAATTTTGGTTTGAAATATCCATCTTATTAATATTTTCTAAGTAAAAATATAACACTTATAATTTATCAAATATACTCAATAATTGTAAATTTTTAATAATATTAATAATGAAAAAAAAAATATTTTTAAAAAAAAGAAAAAATCGAATTAAAAAAAAAAATTGAGCGACGGTTAAATCTCATTTGTAAATCTTCCCTTAACTTAGAATTTTGTGTCAATGTTATGATCTCATGACTAAAGGTTCCTTTCAGAAAAAAAAAATTTTTTCTCTGGTCTATATCACATGTAAATGGTAAAATTTTCATAGAACTTTTATCCTGATAAAATTAACTCTTTTACTTTTTGACAAAAAAAAATATTTAATACTGATACCGTTTTATTTCTTGTGTTTGGTAAAAACAAAATTATGCCGATCATCTTTCGATCATTTTTTATTTAAGTTAATATTTTTTGTCGAATTTTTTTTTTGACATTTGGATAAATTGACAATTTATTGGACACATTTTATAAGTGTATAAAGTTTTTATATGAAAAACCTGTTGTTATATCCTTAAAAAAAAAGTTGATATTTAAACTTTAAAAGGTTCACAATAAAATCATACTGAAGAAAGCTGCTCTTTAAAAGAAAAGTAATTTTATGAGATCAAATAATGATGATAGGATGTTATTATTGTATATTGTATAATTATGAGTTATGAAATTGTCTAATAATTAGTACATTTTCTATTAAACGTTACTGTGTTAGATATTGTATGACATAAATTATTAGATTGAACAAAACTTTGGGAAACTATAAAGACTATGTAATGTATTAGTTGGTATAAGTTAAAAACTTATTATTTTATATAATTTTATTCAATTTTTTTTTTTTAATATACTGTAATAATTTAACATCATATTTTAATTTTTATATAGAAATTTATTATTATTAAATTAAATGATACTAAATTTTGATTCTTTATTTGCGGATTATGTTTAATTTTTATAAAATTTCTAAAAATTTACAAATTCTTATTAACGCGTCCGATTCTATTATGATCATTTTTGCGTCATTAATTTTGAAAGCCACTAAATTTAAAAATACTCAATATAACACCATAAGATGCTGGTAAAAAGTATGCCAAAAGCATCAAAGAATATTTACGGACAAAATATTCCAAAGAGTTTTCAAACCGTTCTGCACTTCTGCCACCCAGCAATACCAATTTTTAATTACACAAAACTATGTTTAAAAATTAAAATTAATTTTTGTATACAATACGCATTTGATATGTAGAAAATTTTTTAAAATTTTTTATTGTTAAATTTATCATTACGAAAAAGAGTCTACTGTTTGTATATCTTGTTTTTAAACAACGTCAACGCAACAATTAAATCACGTGACTAAGCCGTCGTTTTGCACGTTATACGACGCATTATGAAAGTGAGAAAATTTATCACAATGAATTTTTCTAACTATCACCGGGAGTGATGCTCACCGGTGACTGAAATTATGACGATCGACCAGCATTAAAAAATATAGCGCCGGTAAAAATTGATAATTCTGGCCAACGGTGATGATCACCCCCGGTGATTTGAAGTAAAAAAACTAACTTTAATATTAGTATCATCCGTCTCAAATAAATCTGGGACAAGTTTGTTATCTGTTATCTATCTAGTTAAACACGGTTTTCAATACTAAAATAGTGTGTTAAACGCGTTTTGAGTTAAACGCGTTTTTCAATACTAAAAATAGTAAACTATTTTTATCACAGGTGCGTACTGCTCCGTATGTATCATTTTGTGAAACATTTAAGAATATAAATAAACATCACGTCTATCTTTTTTTTTTTGCTCTATTTGACCAAAAGTTCAAAATAAATGTTAAACTGGTAAGCTTTATACTTTGTATTGTGGACATGCATTATATACATAAAACCAAAAATTTTTAAAAGGAAATACTATGACTTTATTTTTCTTAAGAGTAGCTTTTTTCTTATGAGCAGGTCTGTATTATTGATAAAAATTTTATTTAAATTAAATTTCAGATTTTAAAAATATGGCAGAAGTATTTACTTTAAGTGAAGATGATGTAAATCAAATTAACAAGGCATTATCGCTAATCTGGAGAAGAACTAAATATAACAGATAATATTGCAAATATTTCTTATGGTAAACGTTCTGACAGAATAATAGTTAACCTTGAAGATTCCAATTATATTATAACTGATCAGGTTCATATAATTAATATTTTAAATATATATATTGTAATTTTTTAATAAAAGTATTAAATGGTAATTATTTTAATAATTTAACTTCTAGGATTTTGAAGAAAATTGTAATATTCAGTTGAGCATGCAAAGAAAATAGATCAATAATTGCAAGTAAGGGTACATATATAATGAACCTTGTTTATTAACGTTAATTTAAGCAGCTTATCTTTATAATTTAATTTTATATTAGAAAAATTTGCTAATTGCCGAAAAAGCTTATGAAAAATTAAAAATAAATAATAAGCAACTTAATGATGAGTTAAATTCATTGCAAATTTATAATCTTAATCTTGAGGTAAATGTAAATGCATATTAGATTTAGTTTTTACTTTTTTAAGATTAATTCAATTCAATGAAATTCTTAATTGCAAATAGAAAAAGATCAATAAGTTCAAAAGAAAATCTGACCAATTCAATACACCAAAAAGCTCTTCAACAATAGTTTCTACATCAAATGGGATATACAATAGAAAGCAATCCAGATTCCAGATGATGTTTGGGAGTCATTAAATAAACGTTGTTATGAAAAATTTGATTTTGAAGATCTTATTAAAGAATCAACTGAAATAGAAGAATTACAATGGGCAGAAAAAACATTACCTTCTTATACAATCTGGGATAAGTTTAGTTAATATCATTCACTTGTTAAACTTTGGATTAATAAAGTTAATAACTCTTACAAAAAAAAGGAAGAAGGTAAGAATTTCAAGTAGCAATAATATTTATTTATATAACTTATATTAATTTATTTGTTTTATTAAAAAATATTGATACTATAAATTTACCATAATTAATCAATCTATATTCTTATATTAAAAAGGTTAAGATATGGTAGTTGAAAATTTTGAGAAAAAAATTATTGCTAACAAAGGTAAATGGCAAATATTAAAATATTGATAATTATAAATTTATCTTAATTTTATAATTTGATCAAATTTTTTAAATTAAATAACAGAATTACAAGAAAGTGAGAAAAGAAAAAAATATTCTAATTTTGGAAAAAATCTAAATAGTTTGGTAGTAAAAACCATTTAATAGAAATCAAAGACTACTAAATTCACACAAATTTTAACCAGACTTTAAAAGTTATTACCTCAGAACCAATTCAAATTACAGATGAAGATTCTGCCAAGGAAAGAATTACACAGTGAGTTGATCAAAAAAATCATTCAAAACAATTTGAGCTTGCTACTAAAGCTTATAAGCTTTATCATCAAATGTCACTTGTTTATATTTATAATGACTTACATATCATTTCAGTGGAAAATATCCAAATGATGAGAGAGAACAAAGTATATTTGAATGAAACTTTATGTGCATCAAATTAGGTATTCATACTAGATCTGAATAGCAACAAAAGAAAAGTGCTTTTAGAATACATAAATTAATTAATATTGGGATTACATTTGATCAACTTGTTAATACTGGTCTTAATATTTCAAATTTTGAAGTTACAGATTATTATTATGATGTTTTTTTCAACAGATTTATAATCGGGAATGATTAAAAATTTATTTCAAAAATCTAATATGCAAGAAGATGATATGGATCTAGATATGAAAGATAGTGAAAGTAATGAAAGTGATATTGCAAATTAAAGTAATTAGTCATTTTATTTATTTTTTTGCATGTACTTTTCTCTTTTTGTTTTATTCTATCTTGTTATTAAATAAAATTAATAAAATTTGGTGGAATAATACTATAAATTTGTCAAAGATATATAATTTTTTTAAATAATGTTTTATCACCTGACTGACTAACAAATTTATATACATGTTATATTATTGGCATTGTTACACATTATTTTTTGGCTTCATTGAGATGGAAAATAATAACTTTGACTTAGATTCTGACTTAAGTGGTAAATATTTATAAAATACATGAATATATGTTAGGTTTGGATCAAATATTGGGAAGAATTTTATCAGACTTATAGCAACTTAAAGTGATGAAATCATTCCATTTCATTGTTTCTCTATTTTTAAAAAAAGATATATGATGTTCATATATTATTATATATTAATTACATTTGACTTTTTAACAATAAATAAATTCAACCTGTATTTATTCTGTATATAAGAAAATGAAGGAATAATCAAATCTGTTGCTGAAACTAAGTCATCTGAAATTTTACCAGATGAATCTGAAACTGGACATACTTTTAATCTATCTGATATTAATATTTCAAAACCTGATAGCATTGAAACAAGAAATAAAGTAAGATTTATTTCGCAGGAAATGTTTGGTAATATTCAATTAATTTTAATTCAATTTTAAATTTAAAAATAAAAATTTACTGTGATTATATTATAGAACAAGGTGTAAAAGGTAATATTATACCATATAAAAGATGGAAAACACAAACTCCATATAAAGTTATAAGATGGCTATTAGATGTTGAATTTCAGGATTATTCTAACCTTAAAGAAGAAGAAAGGATTAAAGTTTTGGATTCACTTTATAACATTAGATTTGAACGAAATGAATAGGATATTAGTGAACTAATTAGTGCAATAGGAATAATAATATCAATCAATAATAAATAAAATACTCAACTAAGTTTAATTCATGTGATCAAATCTGTTGCTATATTATAATTTAAGACAATTCATTTGAATTAATTAATTTTTCATTAAAAAAAACATGGAGAAAAATAATAATCTTGATGATTAATTAAATATTCATAAAATTAATTAATACATTTCTTACATTACAGATTGTTTATAAGAACAAAATTTTTTACATTTATAAAGTCTTATTTTTATGTAATATTTAGAGCTTTTTGTATATATATATATGTATATATGTGTCCATTAAATAATATTAATACATTTTACATTTTAATATTATAAATATTAAATAATGAAATATAAGTTAATTTTAAATTACCACTATACAATACAAAAAAATATGAATTATGAGAACAAAAAAAATGTCTCAAATTTACAAGAATAACAATTTCCTCAAAATTTACAAGGACAACAATGTCATCAAGACTACAAGGACAATAATGTCCTCAAATTACAAGGATAACAATATCATCAAAACTATGAGGACAAAAATGAAAAATGTCCTCAAAATTATGAGGACAGTAATATCATCAAAATTATGAGAACAAAAATGTCCTTAAATTATGAGGACCAAAATTACAAGTACGAAAATGTCCTTAATTCCTCAAATTTACAAGAATAATAATATCATTAAAATTGTAAGGGCAAAAATATCCTCAAATTATGAGGGCCGCAATACCATCAAAATTACAAGAACAAAAATGTCCTCAATTCCTTAAATTTACAAGAACAACAATATCAAAATTGCAAGGACAAAAATATCCTCAAATTATAAAGACAGCAATATCATTAAAATTACAAGGACAAAAATGTCCTCAAATTATAAGGACAGCAATATCATCAAAATTACAAGGACAAAAATGTTCTCAAATTTACAAGGACAAAGACAATAATGTCCTCGAAATTATGAGGACAGCAATATCATCAAAATTACAAGTACAAAAATATCCTTAATTCCTCAAATTTACAAGAATAATAATATCATCAAAATTGTGAAGACAAAAATATCCTCAAATTATAAGGACAGTAATATCATTAAAATTATAAGGACAAAAATGCCCTCAAATTACAAGTATAACAATATCATCAAAACTATGAGGACAAAAATGTCCTCAAATTCATTTATGAGGATAGCAATATCATCAAAATTACAAATACAAAAATATCCTTAAATTATGAGAACAGCGATATAATCAAAATTATGAGGACAATAATGTTCTTAAAATTATGAGGACAAAAATGTCCTCAAATTTATTAAGACAAAAATGTCCTTAACAGTTAAGTTACGAGGACAAAATGTTTACACTTATAAGGTTACATCACGGCTTAATATTGGCCAATAAAAACCGTGGTTTCCATGGAGGATATTAACCTATGCATTTGAGACACGATGGATATATCTTTACCAACCAGGCGAATAGAGTGCAATAACTGCAATCATGCCAATCCGTCAAATTTACTGCACAATTACTGTTAAGTATATATATATACAATACGAATTTGATATTTAAAAATTTTATTAAAATAATATAAACTAAAAAGTTTTAGAGGATAAAATAGTATATGACATAATGATGTATTTATTTTATAGTTTAAATTTTATCTTTCTTTGATCAAATAAAGTCACATCGCTACATTATATAATAAAAATAAAAAATTTATAAAGGAAATTATTGAAATAATATAATAAAATACTGAATCAAAAAGAATTTATATAAGAAAATGGAATAATATATAATTAAAAATAAATATTAAAATTTTTTGAATATACTAATTTAAAATTGAAATAATTTATTCATCTCGTATTGCTACCTTTTGTCACCTGTCTCTATTTTGGCTGGCATTACGTAATTTTTCCCAGAGGCGATGCATCGCTATAGGCGATAAATATTTACTCCTTAAAATTTATTCATCATCGTCTTGATTGAGATCTATTTTTTAAAAAATAATAATAATAATATAATTAATTAATAATTTCATATATTTAAAAAACAGATTTCTTACCTAATTCATTTAATTCACAATCCAAACATTCAGAAACTATTAATAAAATAAAATAAATATTATTATAACAATTACAATAATCTTTAATAATGCAAATATATACTTACTTGGATTTTCTGATGATGATGAAATAATTTCTATTAAAAAAATAAAAAAATCAATAAATTATACTATTTTCATATTAATTTTTTAAACGTATATTTTACCTTGATAAGAAGATGAATAATCGGTTGAATTAACTGGTTCTGGAAGATTTTCAAATTTTAAAAGTCTACTAGTATAAATTGCTTGTGGATATGTTTGAAGATTTTTAGATTTATTTTCATTTGTTCTGTTTTTTAATTTATTCTCTTTAATTTTTTCACATTCTTTTATTTGATAACTAATTTCACTATTTTCATCTTCCATATCATTTCCATATTTAAGAAATGTTTGGCGTAATTCTTTAGCAGTTGGTCTATTTTCTGCTTTAGCATCCCAACATTTAATAATCAAATCTACAATTAATTTTGGTGTATCTTCAGAAATTGTTGGTCTAAATCCTTTACATATTTTAACAACCAAAAAATGATCATGAGGAATATCATTATAAGGAATTTCTTCTGACATAAGTTCATTCATTATTATTCCAAATGAGTAAATATCTGCTGCTTTTGTATATTTATATCCACGTAAAACTTCGGGTGCCATATAAGGTATTACTCCATAAATTCCTTTTCGTTCATTATCATTTACTGGTTGACACATTCCCAAATCACTAATTGATAGATAATCATCATTATCATGTAATATATTGCCCGAATGAAAATCTTTATGAATATTTCCAGCATCATGAATACCTGAAAGTCCATCTATAATTTGAAATAAATAATCTATTTTAGTTTTAAGTTTTGAACCTTTTACTAATATATTTCTCAAATTTCCTCCCTCAAAATATTGTAAAACCATCATATAATCTTTGGTATTTGGGTCTTGAGTTATTCCAAAACACATAACAGTATTACTAGCATGAAAATGACCTGAAATATAATATTTAATCTAAAATCATAAATTTTGTTAATAAATTATATATTAAAATACAAATATTAATAAACAAGATTTATTTTAATTACCTCATTTAAAAAATCATTACTTATATTATTAGATGAATTATTTAAACTTTTCAATGCAACTCTTTTTGATTTTCGGTACCATTCTTGATTTTCAATATCCCAATACCAAATATTTCCTTCGGGCCAGTAAGCCGAATAAATTTTACTAAATCCACCTCTAGTAAGATAGGTAACATTTTCAAATTTTTCAAAAGGTATCCATTCAAGACATTTTGAGCCAAAAAAAGCATTAAGTTGTGATTGTTGTATTAATTCATCAATATTTTTATTTCCACTAGTCCAATTTTTAAAATTTTCCTCAAATCTTTTAGCATTACAAGGTTGACACCAATATAATCCTGTACCTGGTTGATTACATTCTCCACATACTCCGTATACTTCTTTTCTTTTTTCTAAATCCATAATATTTACTTTTTTAAAAAAGGAAATAGTTTCATCTGATTCAGTAGTTGAATCAGTCGAAAAAATTGTAGCGTGGGCCTATCAAAATAAATTGTTAAAAAATTTTAATAAATATTTATATTGTTTATTATATTATAATATTTTTACCTGATATTCATCACCATCATCATATTTCCATAAATTTTTAGCATCAGTTTTAGAATTATTTCTTATTGTAATCTCAGTTGTATCCAAATTTTGGTTTGAAATATCCATTTTATTAATATTTTCTAAGTAGAGATATAACAGTTATAATTTAGTGAATATACTCTTGTAAATTTTTAATAATATTAATAATTAAAAAAAAATATTTTTTTAAAAAAAATAAAAAAAAAAAAAATTGGGCGTCACGGTTAAATCTCATTTGTCATTAATTGCAAATCTTCCCTAATTGATATTATATAATGAACCTTAAATTAGAATTTTGTGTCTATGTTATGATCTCATGACTAAAGGTAAAGTTTCAGAAAATTTTTTTTTTCTGGTTTATTTCGCATGTAAATGGTAAAATTTTCATAGAACTTTTATCCTGATAAAATTAACTTTTTTACTTTTTGGCAAAAAAAAAATATTTAATACTATAATTTGCACAAGATAAAATTGTGACCTATACTGAGAATTATTTTTTTTCTTTTTCAAACCTTAATTCGGATTTTTGTGTTTCGTTAAAATTTTTTTTTTTAAGAAAATGTTGTTCTTTTTCGTAAACTAAATTAAAAATTTTTTGATACTTGTACGAATATAGAATTGTCACACAGCATGAATTTTTTCTCACGGTATCATTTGATCATCATAGTGGTGCCGTCACTGCCGTGAGAGGCGTGAGATCCCACGCAGACTAACGTTCCGTAAACTACTGATAAGCTTCTTAGCTTATCCTTTTAAATAAACATCCTCCATAAAAATATCAATAAGGAAAATCACGGACGACTATATAAAAGTAGTTGTTTTATCGATTTGCTTTCCTACTTAATTATGGATTTACCAAAGTATACTGGAACAATTCATCCTGAAGAATGGGTAAAACAAGTACAAATTTACTGTTACTTAAAAGGAATTGAAAGTGAAGGAAAAATTATTAAATTTTCTAAGCTCATGATAGATTACACTATAATAATTCCTAATGTTAATGAAATTAATTCTTTTGAAGAACTTATTAAAGCTCTTAAGTTACATTCGACCTTCAGTATTTACAAAAATTCATGCAAAAGAAAATTACAATTAATAAAGTATATTCCTGAACAAGAAGATGTCGCTACATTCCTTGCTAATTTTCGTTCACTTTGCATGGAAATTAGTGATCATAAAGAAATTATAACAATGCTTATTAATTCATATTCAAACTACTTCTTCAAAGGTGAATTTATAAAAAGAGTAGAGGGTATTAATTCTGTAGATGAAATATTTAAAATATTTAGTGAGGTTGTATTTGACGAATTAAAAATAATTAAATTTGGGTCTTCAATCGCTCTGAAACATGTTGCAACAGGAAAATATTTATCAAGTTGGAATGTTAATTATCCAACAGGTTCCAAGCAACGAGTGGTATTTATTTAATATATTTCAATTATTTAATTACCTTATGTCATTTTATTTATAATTTTTTTTTTATATTTTAGGTATTTGCTGGTGAAAAATTGTCAAATGGAAATGCTTTGTGGTATGCGACATGTACTACTACTAATCGCAACTATCAGAATTGTACCTATGATGATAGATTTTATTTGACTCATAAAGTAACCGGTAAAAAATTATGCATGAGTATTAATTATAAATCTCCTACAACTAGACATGCAGAAGGTACTGTATATGTAAACGTTAATAATATATAAAAAATTATTTTCAATAATTATTTGTTTATTTACTGTATTTATTTTACAGTAAGTTGTAGAAATGAAGGTGATTCTTTGAATTGGATAAATATTAATCCAACAAATGGTTACGCAACTTACGTAAAAGCAAGAGATGTAATTACTTTAAAATATAATGATTATATTTTCGTAGTCATGATTTCACATTTACAATTGGAAATAAAACTTTTCAAGAAGTTGTTGCCCATGAAGAAAGAATTGGTGGAAATGATGAGGTATTTAAATTTAATTTACTCAATATTATATCTTCGTATGTGTTAATTTATTTATAATTTTTTATTTACAGTGGCAAATTGAAATTGTTTAAAATGATAAAAAATTTATTTTTGTTTATTATTGCTAGTTTTATAGCCATAAAATTTACATTATCGATTGGTTTAAAAAAATTCATGAATTCAAAAGTCAATATGGATGAGAGGTCATTTTTATAAAGTAGTATATTTTTAAAATAGTTTATTTTTTTGAAATAAAAATTTACCTGTGTCAATTAATGAACAATCAATTATAACTGATTACAATAACTAATAATTACGTGTTTAAAATTTTTTTTCCTTTTTGCCTAAAGAGAAATTGCAAGTGAATCATTAACTGGTAAAGCAGATATTTTATGAATAGATGTCCCTACATTATTCTGAGATGATGAGAATTTTTTATTAGTAGTAGTTAACAGATATGTAAAATATCTTAATATAATGATAAAATTTTACTTACTACTATAGGAGAATGTAAATTTTTTCGGTATAATTATGATATAATGTTTTTAACATAGGCATATCAAAGTCTGACTGTGTAAATCGATTCAATTAAAATAAAATTTATTAAAATAAACTTTTATATAGACTATTGATAAACTTTTCTGTTATGGATAATTAGTGTTGGATTTGGATAATGTTCAATTGATATTATGGGATATTAGGACAATTGAAAATCCAATTGGACAATATCCATATTATCCCAATAATACAAAAATAATTGGACAATTGGACACTGACGTGACAAAATTTCAACAAATCACCCATTAACCATGCGAAATAAGTGATATTAATCACACTGAATAGTAAAAATTAACCTTATGATAAATTTCTTACTAAATTAATATTTTATGACTGCACATAACTTTATTGATAACTTTGAATTACGTAATGTTAATGTATAGATATGCACTTTATTGGCTAATTTTGAAATGAAGTGCCTAAATTCTGAGTTTTATAGTGTATCTAGATAATTAATGTTAGTTTCATACTTAAATGGAATTAGTCGGGAGTTTACTGTATTAGCCTTATAATACCTACAATATTTATGTATGTGATTTAAATATATGAATAAAAAAAATCTATTGGTAAATTGAGATCAAGTTTATTCATAATTGATTATAATAAATTTTCATATTTCATTACGATAAATGATGAAATAATTTGAATAATTTGTAATTCAAAATTTACATGAGTATTAAACTATCCATACATTTAATTTGTTAATAATCCAATATTTGTAATAAACATAAAAAATCTTCGTGATATTGGAATTGTAATTTCAGCCCACATTATGATAGTTACGTTCCAGCATTTTTTCGAAGTTCAAGTGCACGTTCAGTATCATAAATGTACTGTTCCACCTAGTCTTGACGATTTGAATCTTCAACATTTTTGGTGAAAGTTCGAAAGGACATTTTTAACTATAAATATCGTCTCAGCTTATTAAGTGACTCTTATTATTTTAATATGATTTTATAAAAAAGCTCAAGTGAAGAAATAGAAAAAAAAAAATATTTGATTTGAAAGTCGATAATCGAAATCACATGTAACTTGTATGTGTAACCGGTGAATAAATCCGGCTACCATTTTTCATATATAAAGTTGGATATTTTTATCTCCCATTTTATTTACTTTATTAAAAGGGTTAATTTTATTGCGTTCTTTTGATGCCTCTTTATACAGTAAATGAACAAAAGTTAACAAATAAATTATGTCAACTTTGCTTAAATATAAAAATTTTAGTCGTTAATTGGCTCCTAACTTTACGACTAATTTATTGTGAACTCATTAAATTAGACTTTCCACTCCGTATATAAAATAATTTATTTGCAGTAAGTCAAAAATTTTATTTATCGCAGAAGTTAAAATTATTTATTTAATGAGTAAGATAATAATGATAATAATAAAAATATAATGATAATAATAAAAATAATGAAATATTGAATTATTTAAATTACAAACTAAGAATCTTGTAAAAAAATTTTTACATACTCTATACTTAGTGTTCAAATAATTCAAAATAAAAAAAAGCAAAAGTATACAGAATATATTCTGTCAGATATTAAGTAATTTAAAATCCATTTAAATTAATAAATAAAATATAAAATTAATTAGTTAAATAAATACACGTACTGTATGTAAAGCACAAATGGTAATATGAAAACACTTGCCATATGAAATTTCAAATTTATTTTGTTCCTCTGAATGAAAATTTTTATCATCATGGATTTCATCCTTATCTGTAAAGAAAAAAATAGAATTAAAAAAATAATACTATAATATTATAACAATATTAAATTTCATTAATATACATACCATCAATGTTGACATTCTTTATTTGTTGTTGTTCTACTATTTCTTTTTCATAATTAATTTGATTATCTATCAAAGTAAAATATGATATTAAATTTATAGGAATAAAATTATAATAAAAATAGTATTATTTATTTACCTTCGTTTGAGTTTATTTGTAATTCATCAAATGATTTAGATAATTCTTCACTATCACCTAAATTTTATTTCAAAAACAAATTAATAATGATTATAATTGTCATTAAAAATCGAATTGCTATAAGTTCATACTGTTAAAAAAAAAATATAAATTTAAACGATTAATTACCTTTTAAAACACTACTTGCTTTGGATGTGCTACCATAATTTTGATTACTTGAACTATTAAAATCATCGACTGAAAATAAAAAGATTAATAAATATATTATAATTACTAATTAGTACTTTTTGCAAATACTTACTATTATCAGGAATATTAAAATGGTCATATGAATTATTACTATGAAATGCTAATAAAAATAATAAAATTATTACAGTAAGTATTATCTCGATTTCAGTTATACATAAACAAATGTTATAGTATTATTTTTACCTTCTTGCTCCTCTATTTTTATTTAAATTAAAAAGCAATATCAATATATAATTTTTTAATAAAGAAAAACTATTAATTATCAATTAATATAATGAATATTATAATTATACCTTCTGTTGCATTTCTTGGTTCAGGTAAATTTGTAAATTGATGAATGTTACTTGTAAATAATTTGCTACCTGTTATTGATTTGTTTGCTTCATTCATTTCTAAGTTAATATTTGTTTCTTGTTGAAGTGTTTCATTTGATATATTATGATAAATTTCTTTTAATTTTGAATATAGTGTTTCAGTATCAAGTCTTTTTGATGGATCAGCATCCCAACATTGTTTCATTAAATTTGCATATTTTACAGCCCTATGAAAAAAGTCTGTGTGATTTTTGTTGAAAAATCATTCAATTAAATTCACTACGATTTCTGTATATTTGACCATACAATAATTGTGCTAAAAATTGCAATAAATCACACAATTATTGCATGGTAATTCATTCAATAATTATCCTATTTTTGACCTGAATTTATACAATTATTGTGTGATTTTTGAGCCAAATTTTAGGCCATATTTTAGGAATTATAGGTTAAATTTTACAGTAATAACAGCTGTCTCTTATACACATCTAGATGTGTATAAGAGACAGATTTTCATATTAATTTTTTAAACGT